TTCAAAGGAAGGAAGTACTTGAACTTAACAACTCAGATGCTATCTTAGTCCAGAATAAACTTATAACACAACAAATTGAAGCATTGAACCAGAAGATAGAGAAATTACCTCAACAAATGCACACAGTACAATCTATTCTTAATCAACAGATGAGTTGTGGTGTGTGTGGAGGTGATCATGCAAATGAACAATGTTCTTATCAAGGCAACATTCAGCAAGAAGAAGCTAATTATATGGGGGTCCAAGGTAGTAGTCAAGGCATACAAGGCAATTTTCCTAATCCCAATAATTATCAAAATAATTTTACACAAGGATGGAGAGGGAATCAAAATCAGAATCAGAATTTTGGTTGGAACCAAGGTGTTAGCTCATCTACTAGACAAACTGCATTTCAACAACAATCATATCAGCAACCTCCATATCAACAGCAACAACAACATTATCCTTCAGTGCCTAACAGAATAAGTAAATTGGAGGATATTGTAGAAAAATTCATGCAAAACACTATGGCTAATCAGAAAAATACTGAAGCTTCATTCAGAAATATAGAGACCCAGATAGGCCAACTGGCTAAGCAATTATCTGAGCAGCAACAAGGAGGACAGTTTTTAGCTAACACACAAACCAATCCAAAGGAGCAATGCAATTCAATAACTACAAGGAGTGGAAAAGTTGTAGATAAGAGGATTAGTGACAATATAGTTGTTGAAGAAGAAGTTTTGGTAAAAGAAGATGAAGAGCAAGAAGAGTAGAATAATAAAGAAAGACATATTCCTAATAAGAAGAACGAAGAGAAGATAGAAAAAGGAGGGAGTCAAAAACCAGTTGTAGAGAAGTTACCATATCCCAAGGTTCCCTCACAGATAGATAAAGAAAGACAATTCATTAGGTTTATGGATATTTTCAAGCAATTACAAATTAATATATCATTTGTGGAAGCTATGGAGCAAATGCCAACATACGCCAAATTCATGAAAGAGTTCTTAACTAAGAAAAGAAGATTTACTGATGAAACAGTAGAGTTAGAGGCAGGATGTAGTGCTATATTCCAAAAATCATTGCCTCAAAAGTCCAAGGACCCTGGAAGTTTCACTATACCAGTCACAATTGGTGAATTACCGATGAAAAAACCATTACTTGATTTAGGGGCCAGTATAAACCTCATGTCATTATCTATGCTCAAAAGAATAGGAAACTTGGAAGTAAAGCCTACAAGAATGACACTGCAGCTAGCTGACAGATCTGTAAAGATTCCTTATGGAGTAGCAGAAGATGTTTTAGTTGGAGTGGATAACTTCATATTTCCTGTTGATTTTGTGATTATGGACATGGAGGAAAATGAGGAAGTCCCATTGATCCTGGGAAGACCATTCATGAAGACTGCCAAAGTAATTATAGATGTTGACATAGACAAGTTAAAAATTAGAAGTGGAGATGATGAAGTTAATTTTAATCTGTTTGAAGTTGTACAACAACCGGAAGACAAGAAAGATTGCCTCAGAATAGATACTTTGGAGGAATTACCCATCTCAACTGAAAAACAAGATTACAAGCCTATTGCACAACCTCAAAGACATCTTAGTCTGACTATGAAGGAAGTTGTTCAAAGAAAGGTACTAAAACCTCCTAAAGCAGGTATGATTTATCCAATCTCTAACAGTTGTAAGGTTATTCGCAATGAAAAGAATAAAATCGTTCCCACAAGGATAGTTAAGGGATGGAGAATGCGTATATATCACCTTGATCACTCACCTGCATGAGCCCTAAAGCAAATAGGCGTCAAGCTGAAGACGTTAAACAAGCGCTCTTGGGAGGCAACCCAATGTTTTGAATTTGTTTTTTTCTTTTTGCAGTTTAAGTTTTTTGTGCATTTTTCTTCCTTAGGTTCTTTCTTTGTAAGATTGCTCCAGGTACACAGTGCACTTCTCCTCAAGACTTTGAAGCCTTACTTCAATGGCCTGGGGACAGTCCAACTTTTCCAGAGGGGGTGAGAAAGTCTGCAACTGAGGCTGAGGCACAAGATAAGGAGTAGATGACAACCGCAGAAAATAAGGAAGGAAACTTACTTTATTTTTAATGTTTTTAATTATTTTATTTTTAATTACTTTATTTTAAATTTTGAATTCCCTTGCTGTCCCATAATTTGTTTTAGATCCATATATGAGATTATTGCTTATTGTCTAATTCAAATCTAGAACGTGAAAAATAATTTTGATTGTTTCTAATAACAAGTGATTTTGGGATATTGAGTATGATAGTGAAAATGAATTGATGAGGAAAATTAGGAATTAACTGAATTGGAGAAGCTAGCCAAAACCCAGGTGAGCAAAGTACCACAAACAGATAAATTGAGTGTCAACACTTTGTGATGATAACTGATATTGGTTTATTCTTTGATGTGATTGCATGTTGGCAAGACTTGAAAATGATAAAGACATTCTTTTTTCTTTGTAGTAGATATAACCCAGAGCCAAATAGCCAACCATGCATTAATTATAGGACATCCATTTGAACCCCTCCTGAGCCAAAAATAATATTGTTTCTTAAACAGAACCCTTAAGCCTAAACACTATTTATCTACCTTCCTATATTTGAGAAAAGGAAATGAGTATGAATGTCACTATTTTTCTTATTGTTGGGTATTGTTATTGTTGTTCTATAGGTATTGTTGGGGTGTTATTGTTAAAAAAAAAGTGTAAAGAAAAAGAAAAAACAAAGCTTAAAAATTTGCAAAGCCAAAAAAAGGATACATGCAAAAGCAAAAAAAAAAAAAGAGAAGTCAAAATGGGGGTAATAACTTGTGAGATTATTAACTCATTATCATTGTGTTAGGGACAAAAACATGAAGTTTGAAACCTGACTTGAGGAATTGTTAATCAATAATCATTCATATGAGTTGAATTTCTCAAATATTTTTGTATATCCCAGAAAAACCAATAATTCTTTCTTAGCTCAGCCCCATTACAAGCCTCAAAAGACCTTTTGATTTAAGTCTTGTTTAACAATTGTTGATTGCTTGAAGATGATTATCAATATTGGATTGTCTAAATGAAGTTATTGAATGAGATAAACACTTACCTCTAAGAATTAGAGATGAGTATATATAACTCTATTTGAGAGATCATGTTTCTCTGAGGATAGTTGAGGACTAATTATTCTTTGTTGGTTTCTATAACTTGAATGCTTATGTGTTCTATTTTCATTTGGAGTTGTGAGCATCACCCCTGAAAGTTTTTATGTTGTGGTTCTAGAAGAGAAAGAGATAATATGTGATGATTTTGTTTTGGAAAAATTACTTTGCTTGGGACAAACAAGATTCTAGGTTGGGGGGAGTTGTTAAGTGGTAAAAAGTTGATATAATTATGCCTTGAATTGTTATGAAACCACTTAACTTATGTTAATTCTAATATATTTTTCTCCTAATATAGGATGAATTCGAGAATACCTTGATACAAGAGTAAGGAGCATAATTGTCAGCATAATTAGAGTAAAATTGAAAGAAAGAAGAGCGCTTAAGCGAATGAATGATGCGAGGCCCGACCCAAATTCTCTTATAAAAAGATAAGTTGTGTTTTTAGAAAAGCAAGCAGTCTTGGAGGAGAGAAGACACGACTACTGTTAGGGTTTTCTATAATCTTCATCAATTTTTCACTTCATCAATTGAAGCATTGTAATGGCCAACATGAGTGGCTAACTTCATTCTCTTAGGATTCAGTGCACTTCCTTTGAACTCTTTTGTATCATGGTGATATTTTGAGATATTAATCTATGCTTTGATGTTGTTATTCTTATCATTTATGCTTTGGAATGATTTATTCTTAATTGTTTGAGGTATGATTGGAAAATATATCTTGAACCCTAGATCACGGTAGGAATATTTGTTACGTTAATTGCCAGGAATGGAATGAATGTATCAAGTGCTTAAACACCCTAACCCTAATGCTTGAAAATCTCTTAATTGTGTGAGGAATCAACATTTATTAGGTTTTCTTATGAATTTCATGTGTGAGGAATCAACATGGATGATTTGAGTAGGTGACATAAACATTGTTAGATTAATTGACGTTCTTAATTGATTTAGCCATTACAAAAGAGGGATAAGGAAGGAAGTCAATCCTAAGTACCTTTAATTGATATTTTCTCAATAATTTACAGTTGTTTGTCATTTAATTTCAATTCAACTCTTATTTGCAAAACTCAATCTATTTTAATCTACTTAGTAAGCATAATTGGGAATTTCCATTGAAACTGTTCCTCGTGGGATCGACTTTTATTTTATCGAAATACTATACTGCGATTGATAATTTTGGTACGCTTGCCAATAATTCAACATCCCCATGTAAAAAAGATGATATTCTAAACAAAGGTCGTCTCAAATAAAATATACAAGTGAGTATAATTCTCATCTATTGAATCGATTTTGTTGGATTTAATTAGGTATCTTACTCTTTTTAAAATGGTATCAAAGTCAACTCTGATGATATTGAGATAATAATCATTAATAGTGATAAACTTAAAAATTTGTTATTGGACCAACCTTTGATGTAGGAGGTGTTAAAAAATTTCTCTTTGATATGAGAAATTACAATAGAAAAATCATTTTTGACATAAATGAGTGTGTTTAGATATTCAAATTAAAATATATAATATTATAATAAACAAGTGAGAATAATTTTTATTTTATTTTTTTATGATTAAAGTGGTATCTTACCATTTATAATAATAATAAAAAAAATGTTGAAAACAATTGCCAATTAACTATGGTTTTGTGATCCGTGAAATATTAAAAAGGCCCAAAGGGAAGCTGTTGGCCCAGTAAGCTCAAATGTCGGTCTGCATGGAAGAAAGCAACTAACAAACATGACACGTGACACTTGCGGCTCCTTGGAATCGAACACGTGTATTAAAGTTTGCAAACCGCCCAACAACGTAGTTTTACTGTTCCTCCACCGTACAAGTTACATTTTTCACAGAACACGAAAAAGAGGAAGAAAAAGAAGATGGACATGAGAGCGCGCCTGAGAGTTCAAAAGAAAAAACCCATTAAACACAGGGGAAGGAAAGTTTTACTTAAAAAGGTTTTGGATTATCTGAAGTCTGATACTTTCATGTATGCCCCTCTCCTCTCTCCTCTACCCTCTCTTGCTTTCAACTCCTTCCCTCCTTCCCCTGCTAAAGGTTTGGCATTTACCCTTAATTTTTCATAATTTGTTCGTTTCAACTGCCATGGTTTTTTCTTTCATTGTTTTGTTTCATGGGGTGGTTGTTTATGATGTTTAAATGTTTCAGTGGCGGAATTTCAAAAACCTGTAAAAGAGAAGCAGTGGTTTTGGAAACAAGTTAGGGAGTATCTCAAATCTGATGATTATATGTATAATCCGCTGCTTCATCTTCCCCGTTCATCTAAAGGTACACTTGTTGTATTCTAAATACTTCTTTACTGGTTTCAACTTCAATTTCTAACTATTGTAGAGAATGTGTGCAAACTTCTTTGTGATTGTAGCATCTAAAATAGTAAAATTTTAGTGTCAAATTTAATGGTGAGCAGTTACAGATTGATATTTGAATTGAAGAGCGAGTTTGCTAACCTAAGGGTAATGCATAAGGAATAAAAGTGGAAAATCTTTATTGAAAACAGAGAGCATTATTGAAAACAACTTATACACCACTGTTTACACAATAACTGCTTATTCATTAAGACCTTAAATAAACTGTTTTATGAATGGTTATCCAAAGAATTTAAGGCTCTTGGTGTGTAAAACTATGAAAGTAGTTTTTTTGCTATTTTATTCAGCATCATATTATTTGTAAATTCGTAATTTTATGTTGGAAATTGTAATATATAAGGTACACCAAATTTCCAATTATAGAAATGTTTTGGTTGAATTGGAAGGATGGAAAGGAATGGTGTGTCCTTGAGCAAGGACAAGTCCTGAAAAAGAAAACATGTAGTATTAATTAGTCGGAGCTGCATAAAGGAGTAAACTACTCGTTAAAAGCTTAATTGTTTGCTCATCACAATTCGTCGCAAGATTGCCACTATGTCATAGAGGCATATGCATTGTGGTCCTCTCAGTAACACTCTTAGATGTCATCTTTGCTTGAGACAATTCATATATGAGCAGTGACATGCAGCCAAATGTGATTTTACTGCTTAAAAATACATCTTTCGAATAATTTATCTGAATTTGATTGTTCTTCACTTGTTTTCAATTCTCCTTGTCTTTTTTTTTTTTTTCAAAAAAAAAAAGAGAATCTGTTTTAACCATCTTCCTTCCGATTTGTTGCACTATGATTTTTGACCAACAGATAATGAGTTGATCTGCCAAATTGCAGAACCTTCGCAGGATTGTGGAATGAAAAGGATGGATGATTCAACTAGAAGGTTGACAATGAAAGTTAATCAACGAAATGAGCATCTAGGAAATGCAAATCAATGTTCCGAAAGTCCTCTTCCTCAAACAGACCTTTCTGATCAGCATAAACGCACAGAAACTGTGAAGCATACTGTGTACCAAATTTGTCGCTCAACTAGATCTGCTCCAAGTAAAAGTTTTTGCTTCATAAAATGCACTATTTTAGCTGCTTTAATTCATTAATTGTGTTAGTTTCTGTTCTCAATTGTTGCCGGAAATGAGATTCAATTTATTAGTAGACATTTAAGGAGTAATAGTATATTTGTGGGCCTTTTGAAGGAGGGCGGGGATATTTACCGTTTGATCCCTAACTATTTTCCAGCTCTCAAGTTAACTAGTCGACCACTTTACAATTTTAAGTAGAGATATCAAGTTGATTTGCTTTTAAACTCATTTCTAAGTAAACTCTAGGAGATTCACATAATTTTCTCAAGTTAAGGAGCGATGTCCAAGTTTGTCAAATTTAATTTCCGTCTCAATTGATCTAAAATGACAGTATTTTCTGCAAACGGATCTTTTCATCTGAAAAAAAAAGAAAAAAACTTAAAATAGTTAAGTGTTACGATATCACAGCTGATTCTCTTAAACCCCGTTTTTAAAATAGAATTATATTTATCGATAAAAAGGTATTGAGGGGCTGGAATCTCTTGCAACATAAAGTCATTACAGAGAAATGAGAGAAGACATTCCCCGTTTTATTCTGCCCTGCACCCTTTCCAAAGGCAACAGTAAAGATATTTATAAGAATCTTAATCGTTTGGCAAAAAAAAATAAAAATCCTTACCATTATTCATTTTCTGCAGACCAATTGTGCTCAATTGTAGTATAAGTTTTGTTTCCATCCAATCAAACCTAGTGTCGCCAACTTCTTGGCCATTTTTGCATGTCTTAAGCATAAGGAATTCTAGTACATCTTTAAATTAAGAATTGTTTTGAACAGTTATAACTCTGCTTGTATTTATGCTGCAGGGATTCCTACCCTCAACTCGCATCTGAGAGCTCATAGTTGATTGGAACTGTAAACATATAAATAACCTATACGGGCTGTTCTTTTAGGTGTACGCATTATGTGTGTTATGTAAATTTTAGTAGGTTGTATCGTGTTATGTAAATTTTAGTAGTTTGTATCGTCTTTGTTTTTCGACAGAATATGCTATTGTCGTTGTTTGTAATAACCTTAACATGTATTTCAAGTAATGTTTTGAATTTTTTTCAACGGTAGCTTGAACTTCCTTATCATGTTGGTGGGCTTGTCCATCATCAACATTGTCAATGAGGACTGCATTTTGTTTAAACTGATCTTTGGCAAACACGAAATTCTAAATCATCGTTTTCCCTAGACAATGGACCAGTCATGTTTCTTTCTACACTATTAGAATTTAAATTGAATGATTAGCCGGCTAAAACACATTGAACAAGACATGGAACACATTTTATTACTTGATAGGGGTTTCGAATTGTGGGTTTTATATTTTAATTGATATTTTTCACAAATTGATGCCAACATGATTCATTTTGCTTTCTGATTTTGAAATTTTGGGAAAGAAATGAAGTCATTTAAATAATTCTCAATAAGAATGCAGTAACAAAAATACAAAATAGAAAAAAAATAATGTAGTAAAAGTATTGTACAATAGCCAAGAAGAAAGGCTACAGGGGAGGACGGGCTGTGCTAGTGGAGAACGTGGCCAGTATCTAATTATTAGTTCTGTTTTTGTTCGTTATACGTATATCTAGTGTGTATATCAATCATAAAAACTCATTTAAGTAACTATTAGGTTTCTGATAAAGATGGTACTGATTGAAGTATCAAGTGTCCCACAATGGTGATGTGTTTGAAGCTAGCAATGCTCACTGTATTAATTTGGATAACTCTTACTGCCAATTGCAAGACGAAGATGAGCACGTTGGTGTTTTTTATTGGTTTTAGAACTTTAGCAGTTGATACATGCATATGCACGTACATATACTTTCTTGACTTCGTCATTCATTGTTTCTTTATCTTTGTACCACTTTTAGGAGGCAGACAGGGAAGTTGTCCGTAATGTTACTGTTTTTCGTTCACTGCTGATTCGCTGTTGAGATATTTCTTCTTTACGTGCAAGTCATCTCCACTGTCACTTTCATTAACAGTTGCTAGTTATGACAAGCCATTTGCATAATTCATTGTCGTTAAAAGGCTAATGCCTGATTGAAGTAAGCACTTCAAAGGTTTTCTCGTCAAATCTGGGTTTTGAAAAGTTATGTTGTACTTGGGACTAACCGTGCACAAGGTCCTGATGGCCTACTCAACTTATAATCATCTGTTTTATGTCCTCGTCCTTCAACTTTAGTTGTTAGAACGTAACATCTAAGCCCCAGTTTTGACTTGCGTGGTACAGGATTGAGGCATGATGTATTTTACTCGCCCCATGTGGTAAATCCTATGTATTAGGGGGTCAGGGCTATTTCCCTCGGTAGGTTTTGGAGAAGAGACGTGCATGCACATTACATGTAGCTAAAATTTTACGCATGCACTAGACTCCTTTTATTTGGTCCCAGCAATCCCATATGTGTATGTAGCTAGGGGGAACTGTAGATTTCACACTTCATCCCATGGTTCACGCTTTGACTTCGTGAAGGATGCAGTGCAGCATACTGAACATCACTGATTGGCTACATTTGTGGATGAATGAACTACACATCACATTTGAATGTGTAATGATTCTTATATTTTCACGGCATGTATGCATGTTACCAATATCTACTAGGCCGTAAATCTCAACGTAAAGATACATACAACTGGATGTTTTGTAGAAGTTATGAGGCGATGGAATTAACCATCATGCGGGAGAAAAAGTTTTACTAGACGAGATTGGACCTGACTGAAATGTCACTTTCGTTTTGTGCCATTAAGTGACCTTATAAGTACAACCCCCGGGGATCTCGTAGTGGTAACTCTACCAAATCTGGTCTGCCACTGTCAAAATGATGATGTTATTGTCCTTAAAGCATCCTTTTTTATTGTAATAATGCACGGTTTTTACATCTCCTATCTTCTTGCTGGCTGGTGCAGTGCATTTATATGTAAGTATTTTAATTCAAGCTACCCTAGTTTTGTTTTTCTTAGCCTGCTGCACTAGTAAAATTTCTTACCATCATGTTAATGCTGGCATGGCATTTATATCAGTAGTGATGCATACACATCACACAGAATCAATTACAAGCCAACTTTCTGACACTGAAAAGCAAAGGGGTTTGAAATTTGCGTACGGTAATTATGAAATGGATGGAGGGGGGGTTTGGGCTTGGGATGATTGCTGGAACTGGAAGGCAGAAAATCCGGAGGGCACATGCATACAATGAAAAGACTAGTCTATTGAACTCCTCATGATTATATGCTGTAGCCTTATCACCAAAGAGAAGTTGTGGTAGAAAAAGCTTCCTGACACCTATAAAGGCCCCCTTCAAAGCTACGCACGTGTATACCTTTAAATACGCATATATATACCCCCACCTTAAAATCGCAGTGCCATTGCCATCTGTCACAGAACGCCCCAAAATATTACTCACAATTGTTGCATCCTTGGTATGTAAACTATATATATATATAAAATACAACAGATGCATCCTAGTTTGGTGAATTTTTGTTCCAAAAATACTTTGAACATGGTCATATGATTGACAAATTGTATGAATACTCTAAAAGCAGTTGAATCAAATCACAGACAGACGTGTACAAGAGGTCAATGAAACTATGTATGTACAATTTAACATTTTTATTATTATTTTGAACAATAATAGTGCAGTGCCAATCTTTATCTGGGCTAGGCTGGTGTCTTCGCTAGTTTCAGATACTCCCAACCTTAGAAAGAGACGTGTAAGAATTTTTCTTGATAAGATTGGTCACCATCCGATTCCATGCTCTGGGATATAATGAATGAATTGACACCCCGTTTGTTGAATAATGCACTCAGCTCAACTTTTTCCTTCAGTAAAAACACGTCCTTGTCTTCCAACACTTGCAATGAGCTTTTATGAAATCACAACAATGAACTTGTAGCTATTAATATATAACATGACATATTCCTTTCTTCATCAGCGCTGTTACTATATTCTTCTATAATTTTGTCGATATTTTACAAAAATATTACACAAAAAAGGTAAATATATATAATTTAACATTGTCTTAATGTAAATGTGTTGTATATTTTTATTTTTGTCCCTAGGTTGATGAGTATATTTTCTTTGAATGAGTTTGCAGATAAAACCAAAGAACGCAGCATAATTTGTGTACCTATTTCTGTGATTTACACGAATCCCTCGCAATGTGCACGAGGCGATGCACGAGCCCAGCTGTGAAAAGGACTGCGTATGTATGGCTTCATTATTGTCCTTCTTCTAAACAAACACATATACTTCCCATTCATTCATTTCGTTTCATTAATTTTCATGGAATTGAATAAAAAAGTAATTGATAAATGAATTTATATTAAAGAGATAATGTATTTTTCCAGCATTGGTAATTTTTTTTTAATTATGACAATCTATTTTGTTTAGAAAATTAAATTATTTTTTCAACAAATTATATATATATATAATTTTTTTTAATTATGGATTTCATATCTTGGGTTACTCACTTCAAATGTTAAAGAGTATTATTTTTTTCTTACATCTAGTTTGTTTTAAAGAAATACGATATAAAAATGGAATGGGTACGGATATTGCATACAACATATCTACATGTATCTTTTGACCTAGATATCTGCATATATTGAGTACATTTTAAATGAAAACTAAGTTTATCATTTCATAGTTACAATTTAATAAACTGATAAAAAAACTTACAAATGATATTTTAATGACTTAATCGTTTCAAAACAAAATTGAAAACTCTATCTTCATTTCTATAAACTGGGTTGCAGTAGGGTTGCAAAATCATTATTCGAGTTTTCTTTTAAAGGAGTATTTATTTAACTGTCTCAATCCCAAAACAACACCCTACTTAATTGTCTAATGTGATCATTAACATACAGAATAAAACTTTGATTTTACACAAGTAACAGTTCACAAATAATACTCGGTATCATGAATATTAAAATTGTTGCTTCTATGAATAAGAAGATAAATACTGTAACATTCTACCGAAACTCACGTAAGTGTCATATCTAATAGGAATAAGAGATTTTGATAGGGAAGAGAAGGAGAGAAAAATAAAATATTTTTCTATTAGGTTTGTAAATAAATAAAGTTATTTGTACAAAAAACTTTCTCCCTTCAAATCTCCCCTTTTATTATATAAGAAATTATGGAAAGTTAATCATTTTAATAAGCTACAGGGTTATGTTCAAAGCTATTGAGTAAAACTTGTTGAAAACAAGCTGCAAATAATTTAGACAAATAAGCTCTTTCAAATATGTACATAAATACTTACGTTAAATAAGTCTAAGGAATTGTTTCTTTTACCGATGAAAGATTTGATAGGAAAAATTTATATACACTTAAATGGAGATAACAAAGTAGTTATTTCAATAAAATACCGTGAAAAAAATACTTGGAACAATAATATTCCAACCATGCCCTAAATAAATTCTATTTAAGTTCTTTTAAACGAAACTAAGTTGTAAATTAATTCATAAGTTATCATCAAGAGCTTACAGTAACAAGATGAAAATATCGTAAAAACAATTTTTTTTCAAAGTCATCGTAAACATCTACACAAGGATTTATCTCGTAAAATAAATGTAGACAAGGTAAATAAACTCTTCCAAGCAAAGTCGTAAAGGGGTAGAGGATTCATCATCCATTAAATGGCCCAATATATTGTACATAAAACTCTCAAATAATTAATTAAACTTTCCCACTTAATGTATGTCGTGTATTATAAATAAATAAAATAAAAGTTGTAGGGTTTTGAACTGATATAGAGTATGTAGTGTAGTGATGCGTAGTCACAAATTGCACATCCGATCGAAGACAGAATCATGGAAGCTAAAAATTAAATTCTGGTCATATCTTGAAAAGACATGATCACGTATTGGATTTGGATGCAAGCTCTAGTCATTAGGAAATGCCAGTGGTGTGAGTATCCACCACAAACTACTGTTGGAAATTGACACACCTCTAACATTTTCTACCAATGTGATTTCAATTATTTGTGTGAGAGAGAGCATTCCACACCCTTAATTTCTTTGCCTATATAAGCATCCATCCTCCACCCAATCCCCTTCAAAGATAACCCCATCTTTGCCTACATCATAACCTCTCCTCACCTTTTCTGGGTCCTTGTACTTGTTATTCCAACTCTGGTTTCTAATTTCTCTCTGTGTGTAGCTTTGTAGGCAAAATGAGCACAAGAAGATGGTCAAGGCATGTGAAGGGAAGGAAGAGAAGGGCCAAGGTGTGTTTGCCCAATAATGCTGTGAAAGTTAAACCTTCCTTGCAGAAGAAGCTTAGGGAGCTTCAGGGAGAAGTTCCAGGGAGTGAGGGAATTGACATGCAAACTTTGTTCCAAAACATCGAACAATACATATTTCAACTTGAAGCTAAAGTCACAGTTCTAAGGTGCTTGTCCAATTTGTATGGAGTATAAAGAAGTAGACTCCTAAGAACTCAAGCTATTAAAAAATCTCCATTGGGGGCTCTAGACAAAGGGTTGAAGGTAAGGTTAACACCATTACCGGGCTTCTTTTCTTTGGGCGCGGAGGGAATAATAAGGTTGTATTTCATCTAAATTCTATAATAAAAACTATATAGGATTACCCTTTTATTGCTTCTTGTTGCATTTTATTTTATTTAAGACAGACGGTAAAATAATTTTATACTGTCATTTATTACTAATAATTTTAATTTGCTATGTATAAGATCGAGTGAATATATATATTCACATTCACAATTATCATCACCTTCCAATAAATATTTAATGATTGATAGAAATGTGTATTTCTGTACCATATATAAAAAAATATATTTTATTACAAAATAATTCACGTACGGCTTGATTAGTCCGCATTAGACATATATAAAGTTAGACATGTTAAAAAAATTTGCAAGTCAATTTAGTTTGAAAGGTACAGTGTACTTAAATCGTTGTTTTTATATTTAAGAATTTTTTACAAGTGTACTTTTGGGCTTAGTATTATATTTAATATATATGAAATATGGACACTTGGATTATCTATTACAGGGAGAAGTATAAATATGATATGATGAAAAGAAAAAGGGCGAAAAAGACATTGACATCAGTCCATATGAGGACGTTTGAAGGAATATTGTTGGTGGAGTTGGAGAAGTTGATAACCATTATTTAGTGTGATTTGAGCTTACAAAAAAGGCAACTTAATTGGTGTTTAACTCCAACTATAAAACAAAAGAAAACAGTATGACACGTAAATGAAAATCCTTTGGACCATAACAATGAAGGCCAGATCCATCCACATATCATTTTCAATTTTTGTATTTTTCAAAAAATACATCCCAAGTCCTAACCAACTAACTAGGTGCCAACTCATCCGTTCATAAACATTGATTCCTGACTGCTACATTCATGCATACAAGTTAGAACATCTAAATTATTATCACCACTGCCTCCTACAATATATATATATACTGTAAACAAAGCCACCAGAGGGGTAAAGTTTTCATTTTCCTTTTTAAACTCTGCTAAATGCTTACAATGCAAAATAAGTTAGCATGAAGATATATAAAGATAAAGATGGCGATAATACAGGGATTCTTTACACACTTACGCTCACAAATTCAAGTGCGTGTCAATTTAATGGGCCACGCTCTGGTACAACTAGAGTACACACCTATTTATAGTGACCACGTATAGCAATTCTTCTTGTGTATTACTAAATTTCTCATGCATCCATATTTATTTTTTAAAATTGATAAGTAAAATAAAAACATTATGATTTCTCGTACATTAAATTATCTTATTTAATATTATTTTTTCATCATTCCTTTCCAATACTATCACTTAACTTGATTTAATTTCAATTTTAAATCTTTGACACGTCAGATCAATTTATCCTTCTCGACTATAAAATTATTTTAATCTTAGGAATCTTCATTTATATTTCATTTTAAATCTTGTTTTCTAATTTATTTCATATAACAAAATAAAATTAATGTACAAATACTAAGTAGTCTAAAAGATACACTTTTGAGCCTAATATTTTGTGTGTCTTAAATTGGAAGAAGGGGAATAAATATGTTGAACCCAACATTCATTGCGTGTAGAAAGACGTGCCCTGGGTTGGTGGTGGCATGTGTTGATTTATGTATACAGAATTGAACAGATAGATGCTTTGTTTATCCCTAATATAGTTAATTAACAAACAATTAAACTAAATGAGATATTTGCTTGACCATATCTTGGAGGGTGTGCATTTACATAAGGTGTATCAGAAGCGACAGACCCTTGATTCAAGGCCATAACCATCATGGATTGACCAATTAGTTAAAGACATCAATATGATGTTGTTAATGAAATGAAACACACTTTTAGTCCAGTTTTTGTCTGTAAAGTTCGCACATTAATAAACAAAAACCCACACCCCTTTGACCATGTTGCTAGTAGCACGGGCATGTCGCTTATGAAATCGTGATGCAATGCATGCTTTTTGTCAAGTTGATGGAACGCCCAAGTACCCACCCAACATTCATCTTAGTCTTCTCCATGGCTTACGTGACCAAAACAACACACTTTCTTTCATTTGGATTTTACCAATGGAAAAGTTCATCATTTGGGCATTTCATCTAATGGTGTTCGTTACTGTGTGTTATAAAACTACTTCTTTAAGAACTTGTAATTTCAATGTCATTCTTTTTCTAAAAAAAAAAAACTAATTGGTTTTGAAATTGAATTGTGCCCGATAATATAAGAAATTTTGTTAAAAAGATATATACTCGCATTTCAGCGTGGCAATTAAAAATAAGAAAAAAAAATAAAACATTGGACATTATCGAACATATAAACAATAAACCTATATTTGAAGTAAGACTATATTACTTTAATTTAATATCTCCTTAAATAGAAAAAAATGATATTTTTTTTAGTAGAATTTGACGTGGTTGGGTTGTAATTCTACTGGTTTTAAGTATTATGACATAAATTCACTCCTTGGAATTTATTTGAAGCTTGATATACTATACCAAATTAATAAATAGAAATGCAATGAGAAAAATTGAATGTTAGAAAATTATAGGTCCAGTCTTGAATTTGATTTGTGCAAGGAAGAATAAGTTGGTGGTAAAGCACACTGTCGTGCAAGTTGCAATTGGAAAATGGATAACGTAAATCACGGACCTCAGTGGACCACTTAGACTACACCACCGTCCCCTTTCTCCCCATAAATTTAGCTCATCATGTCATTTGACTAAATATTTTACCAAAATTCACACACACCAATTCATTTCAGAACTTTTTTTTAATAATAGATTTTTCATATATTTCAACAAATTCTCAAGATTAAATGATAAAATGTCTTCAATTAAATATAATAAATGTGTTAAAATTCTTACGGCATGTGTTTTACATAACACATAGGTAAGACATTATGTAGTTTTCCTACGTTCTTAATTCATTATAGAAAACTACTCTACAGGATCTTTAGATTATTGATTTTCACAATTTTACATACATTAATACATGAATCATAGTAAGAAGACTAACTTTGATCCATGATAATCTTTTCTTTGATCTTTTCGTTCTCCTATCTCCTTTTCCCAATCTATCTATTTGTCTTTCTTTCTCTTCTCACGCTTCGCTTTCTTGATGGTTTACCGTGAAAAAATCTTATGGCCAGAGACAGAACCCTAATCCCTTTTATTAACCAACGTCCATCAAGTTGGTTACCGTAAGTTAATATTTTATTTTATCCTTATTTTATTCTGACTTCACATAATAACCAATAGGTCCTCATATTTTATTAAATCACATTTGAGCTCATTATTATATTTCACACGAGTCACATAATGGAATGAATGAATTAAATTAATTCTAACATTCTCCCACTTGACTCATGTGATGTCATACGATTCTGTGATTTAATACTTAAGTCATAATGCGCATTAAAGGACCTTACATAAATTGGTTCTATCATTATTCATAATTAAAGATGCAACTATAACAAGAGTCATGGCGGTTACATGTCATTCAATCGACAGACTCCCTTCCATGTACTACTATATTATCTCTTTCTCCTTAATATGACTTTATAATGAGAAGTCCATAATGGGTTCAAACATAATATCATTTTAAAAATAATAACATAATTTGTTTTCTTCATCATAATTTGCATGCATATAAATAAAGAAGAAAACACAAATTTCGAAACTTATACGTTAAAGATCTCAGAGTGTCACATAAACATTAATAATAATATTAACATTCAACATTCACTACTAGTAAACATAATGCCCATATTTACTATATGGCCAGCAAACAACTTGGGCGGTAATCCCTTTGTTAAACGATCAGCAATCATAAGATCAGTGATAATATGTTCTATTGACACTCTCTGTTTCGAACTTCTTCTTTAACAGCAAAGTATTTCAATTCCATATGCTTAACACCTTTGGAATACTTGTCGTTCTTAGAAAAGAAGACTAGCTGCGAATTGTCACAATAAATTTTCAGCGGCTTGGCAATGTCGTCGACTACTCCAAGTCCTGAAATAAAATTTCGCAACCAATTAGCTTGAACTGTGGCCTCAAAGCATGCCACAAATTCAGCTTCCATGGTGGATGCAACAATGACAGATCGCTTCGCACTTTTCCATGAAATCGCTCCTCCGGCTAAAAGATACACATAACCAAATGTAGACTTTCGTGTATCCATACAACCAGACAAAATCGAATCTGTATATCCAATCACCTCAAGGTGATCAATTTTCCTATAAGTAAGCATGTGATTCTTTGTTCCTTGTAAGTATCTTAAAACTTTCTTTGCAGCCTTCCAATGATCCAGTCCAGGATTACTCCGGTATCTACCAAGCATACCAACTCGCAAAACTAATATCCGGCCTCGTACATGTTTGAACATACATCAAACTCCCAACAACGAGATGCATAAGGGATATTTTCCATCCGTTTCTGTTCCAAGTCATTCTTTGGACATTGCATGAGACTAAATTTGTCTCCTTTCCGTATTGGAACGGGAGATGCAGAACAATTCTCCATTCGAATCTCTCTAAAACTTTATTAATATATGCTTTCTGAGACAAACCTAACATTCCTTGTGATCTATCACGGAATATTTCTATTCCTATCACATAGTATGCCTCACCCATATCTTTCATTTCAAAGTTGTTAGAGAGAAACTTCTTAGTCACACTTAATAGACCAAGATCATTAGTCGCAAGCAAGATATCATCAACATACAGAATCAGAAATATAAACTTACTCCCACTGACCTTCAGATATATGCACCGATCAACAGTGTTTTCCTTAAATCCAAAGGACAAAATAGTATCATTGAACTTAAGATACCATTATCGAGAAGCTTGTTTAAGTCCATATATTGATTTCTTAAGTTTACACACCATATGTTCCTTTCCTTCTTCAAGAAACCCCACTGGTTGATTC